GCACCAAAGTCTGTGGAATTTATTATCCCCTCGAAACGAATATAACTAGTGCTAATTGTAACGGGGACCGTTACAGATGTTCCCCAAACGCTCCCCAACTCCCTTTTGGTGCCATATTCCCTGTAATCTTCATTAAATAAGACAAACTCTATGCATTTGAGACTTTAACAACGTTTACACGGAAGTGTACCAAGTTCATTCAAATTTAAACATTGCACGCGTGCGCATGTGAATCCATGTGCGTAATGACCATATCATCTTGTCTACACAATCTATATATTTTGATATACTAAATATAAAAGTATTTCATCCAAATAAAAAATAATTTAAAAATATGCTCATTCAAGTGTATTTTTTTTTATTTTACTCTTTTCACGTGCACGCACGTGCATACATGAGCATGGTGACCATACCTTCTTGTAGAAGTCCATTACATCTATCTATGTTCTAAATCCCTCCCCGTTTGGTTGTAAACCAAGGGAGTTATAGCTGTTTAAAGTTTAAGCCAATCAGATTGCAGCGCACGTACACGCACGTGTATGCATGTGCATGTGACCATATCTTCTTGTAGAAGTCTGCTATATCTATCTATGTTCTAAATCCCATCCTGTTTGGTTGAAAACCAAGGGAGTTATAGCTATTTAAAGGTTCAGCCAATCAGATTGCAGCGCACGTGCATGCACGTGTTTTCATGATAATTGCTATATATTACGTTGTAGGATATCCTAATGCATGGCTATGTTCAAAATTTCAAAGGATTTTGTCAATAAACAAGAAAGATATTGAGACTTTAGTTTCAGCCAATCAGAGCAAAGCGCACGTGCATGCGCGTGAGATCTTGCTATTTTGACCATGCGATATTGTTTATACTTCTAATATATTCTTATATTATGAGTTTTAAAGCAGTTCATCAAAAATGTAAAAAGTTACGCCTATATCAATTAAATCGGTCATTTCACGTGTTGCACGTGCACGCTCTTGCAAGCACGTGCGCGCAAAATGACCTTGATTCCGCAAATCTACATAACATGTCTACTTATCCTAAAAAGGTTTTACCTACATCAGACGAACAGTTTACAAGATCATTCCCGGACAAAAAAGTACCCAGGAAGAAGAAGAAAAATAATAATAATAATAATAATAATAATAACTAGGGCTAATTGTAACGGGAACCGTTACAGATGTTCCCCAAATGCTCCCCAACTCCCTTTTGGTGTCATATTCCCTATAAGCTTCATTAAATAAGACAAACTCTATGCATTTGAGACTTTAACAACGTTTACCCAGAAGTGTACCAATTTCATTCAAATTTTAGCATTGCACGCGTGCACATGTGAATGCACGTGCGTAATGAGCATATAATCTTGTCTTCACAATTTATAGATTTTAATATACTAAATATCAAAGTATTTAATCTTAAAGTATAAAAAAAATACTCTAATTCAAGTGTATTTTTTTATTTTACTCATTTCACGTGCACGCACGTGCTCACATGAGCGTGTCGACCATACTTTCCTTTAGAAGTCCATTACATCTATCTATGTTCTAATTCCCACCCTGTTTGGTTGAAAACCAAGGGAGTTATAAGTGTTCAAATTTTCAGCCAATCAGATTGCAGCGCACGTACATGCACGTGTATGCATGTGCATGGTGACCAATCTTCTTGTAGAAGTCCATTATATCTATCCATATTCCAAATCCCATCCTGTTTGGTTGAAAACCAAGGGGGTTATAGCTATTTAAAGCATAAGCCAATCAGATTGCAGCGCACGTGCATGCACGCATTTTCATGATAATTGCTATATATCTAATTGTAGGATATCCTAATACATGCCTATGCTTAAAATTTCAAAGGATTTTGTCAAAAAACAAGAAAGATATTGGAACTTTAGTTTCAACCAATCAGAGCGAAGCACACGTGCATGCGCGTGAGATCTCGCTATTTTAACCATGTCACCATGTCTGTACTTCTAATATATCCTCACATTATCAGTTTCAAAGCATTTCATAAAAAAGTAGAAAAATTACGGCAATATCTATCATATTGGTCATTTCACGTGTTGCACGTGAGCGCTCTTGCAAGCACGTGCGCGCAAAATGACCTTGACTAGGCAAATCTACATAACATGTCTACTGACCCTAAAAAGGTTTTACCTACATCGGATGAACAGTTTACAAGATCATTCCCGGACAAAAAAGTACCCAGGAAGAAGAAGAAAAATAATAATAATAAGAAACAGAGTAAAAACAATATGTTCCCCAACTTCGTTTGGGGAACATAATAAGAAACAGAGTAAAAACAATATGTTCCCCAACTTCGTTTGGGGAACATAATAATGCGTTTGTGTTAGTTTGTCTTTGTACGAAACGCCAGTAGGTAATTTGCTTCGGGATCGATATGAAATGCTGTCTTGATTTACAAAATTGATAGACTCTTTTGCCAGGGGATGCCCAGCTTTTTGATGCCCTTGTTTAATTCGTGAGGGTCAACGTGATTAATCAAAATTAAGAATTCCTTGTATTTCTTAGTTAAATCATATATATATAGTTAAAACGGTGAACCAAGATACATTGTGGAGTAAACATCCTCTGTCTACCGGGTACACCTGCTGTATGCTCCTTCCCATTATCGGGCTTACGGTAAAATTATTTTAAATATGAGTGCCGTTGTAGGTTGCTTTGAAATTCCTTATGCTCGGGGTCTTATTAGGTCTGACGAAGAATAGTCTGTATACCATTATTCCTAGCGGTCTTCACTTTTTCTTTACGGTATTCACGAGATCAATAAATTGCACCCCATCAAATTTTGACTAAGAGTAATTTTTTTTTCTTAGCCAAATTAAGATATTTACATGTACCATTATTAAAACATCTAGAAAAACATGTTTGGTCAAAAATTGCTCTCATACAGACGGCTTAGATATTTATTCATGCCATCAAAAAACATGATCAGTTTTTATTTGCATTTTAAACCAAACTAAAACATAAATACCTTGAGTAATTTCAACTATTGCTTCACATGAAGTTATCTTGTCTATAAACTGTTGCCTGATGTTCATCATGTTATCATATGAATCGGTATTGGTGTATCTTGTGTAGTCACCACAAGAGTCAACAGATTCCTGGTATTCAGATTGAAAAGAAGAACCAACATCTGCAAAAATAGTTTTTTTTTTTAAGAATTACTTGATATTTAAAGAATCACATTTATTACATGTACATCAATTAAGGAAAAATAAGGTACAATGTAAAACGTATGCTTCATAATTTAAAGAAACTTACGAGCTGCAAAGACAAAATTGTTTCCACTGCCCCTGATTTCGCGCGAAACAGCAGCTGTTTCACTGTAAAATGGGCCCACAACAAAAACGTAATGGTTATTGGCATCCTCTCGATCATCAAGGGCCGTAAACACGTTGTCCCGAGCTGTAATTAATCCTTGGTATACAAAGTGATCAGATCCAGTTCTGTCAGGCACATTTTCGATTGCCCCCCTTGCAGATTCTGAGGTTGTGTAAGTCGTAAGCCCAAACTCTTCTGATGCCACGGAATCATATGTGACAAAGCCCACTCTTACCCCATCAGAAGATATTGGAATATCCTCCATTAATCCAGCCAAAAATGTTTTTGAAAAACGCATGTTATAGCGTTCAATTATAAACGCAATGTCCAGTTTGCAGTCTGAAAATGGAATTGGTGCATTGAAGTTATAAATGCATCTTTGACCTTTGGAATTTTGCACATTGTACATTGTGTTTCATAAAATAAAAAAAATTAACTTAATCTTCAAATAATATAGAGAAAAACGAACACTATTAGAGCAATTTCCTCAATACTTTCTTCTTTTATTTCGGAAAACCAAATGTAATTTCTTAGATTTATATACAAGTTGCAACTATGCAATGGTGTGGTTTTTAAAGTCCATTTTTAGAATTTTTCACTCATATTGAGACGCCACAGGTTGCAGGTGGAGGGCTGCAAATTTAGACTTCACATCAGTACTCGTAACCTTTGATTTTCGTATATGTTGCGACACGACCTCGGTTTACGTGGTCTTACCCCGAAGGGCCGGTCTCCCTGTCTCGCAGTGAGATTGGAACTCGCCACTTGTGGATCAACTCCGTAACTCAAGGGCAAATTGTCTTACCACTGCGCCACGGGGGCGAAAATCTGGTTCCAATTGCCAATGTAAATGATTATAGTATCAGATATGTACATGTAAAGTATAAAAACGATCATTTCCAGACATTGTTTTTACAAGATATCTTTCAAAGAGTTTATTTGATTATCCCAGTCAAACAGTTTACTATTTTGAAATTTGATATTTTTAGCTCACCTGAGCCGAAGGCTCAAGTGAGCTTTTCTGATCACATTTTGTCCGGCGTCCGTCTGTCTGTCTGTCTATCTGTCTGTCTGTCTGTCTGTAAACTTTTCACATTTTCGACTTCTTCTCAAGAACCGCTGGGCCAATTTCAACCAAACTTGCCACAAAGTATCCTTGGGTAAAGGGGATTAAAGTTTGTTCAAATGAAGGGCCACGCCCTTATTCAAGGGGAGATAATTGGGAATTAATGAAAATTTAGTGGTATATTTTAAAAATCTTCTTCTCAAGAACCACTGTGCCAGGAAAGATGAAACTTCTGGGGAAACATCCTCAGGTAGTGTAGATTCAAGTTTGTTCAAATCATGACCCCTGGGGGTAGGGCGGGGCCAAAATGGCCGACCAAAGTTTTACATAGAAATATATAGGAAAATTCTTTAAAAATCTTCTTCTCAAGAATGACAAAGCCATAATTCGTCATATTTATATGGGAGCATGCTCATGTAGTGTAGATTCAAGTTTGTTCAAATCATGACCTCCCGGGTAAGGGCGGGGCCAAAATGGCCGACCAAAGTTTTACATAGAAATATATAGGAAAATTCTTTAAAAATCTTCTTCTCAAGAATGACAAAGCCATAATTCATCATATTTATATGGAAGCATGTTCAGGTAGTGTAGATTCAAGTTTGTTCAAATCATGACCTCTGGGGGTAGAGTGGGGCCAAAATGGCCGACCAAAGTTTTACATAGAAATATATAGGAAAATTCTTTAAAAATCTTCTTCTCAAGAATGACAAAGCCATAATTCATCATATATATATGGAAGCATCCTCAGGTAGTGTAGATTCAAGTTTGTTCAAATCATGACCCCCAGGGTAGAGCGGGGCCAAAATGGCCGACCAAGGTTTTACATAGAAATATATAGGAAAATTCTTTAAAAATCTTCTCAAGAATGACAAAGCCATAATTCATCATATTTATATGGAAGCATGTTCAGGTAGTGTAGACTCAAATTTGTTCAAATCATGACCCCCGAGGGTAGGGCGGGGCCAAAATGGCCGACCAAAGTTTTACATAGAAATATATAGGAAAATTCTTTAAAAATCTTCTTCTCAATCATTTTCTAAAAAATAGCAAATCCATGATTGGTCATGGGACTACTTTTGGATTTAAACTTTACAATAAAAAGCCATTTTATACTAGTCCTACCCTTGGTGCTCAGGTGAGCGATGTGGCCCATGGGCCTCTTGTTAGCTCTTATGGGTAAGAGACCAGAAGAATTTATGTAGAAAGGTGTCCGTCGTCCGTTCATCTTTTTAGATATCCGTCAGTCTATAAAGAAATTCTCAAAACGCTACTCCTCCTACAGTTTGGATCTCAATTTTACTTGGCACACAAGTAGACCATACTAAGATTCATATTTTTTTTATTCTTATTTATTTATTCGGTTTTTGATTACGCAGAACGGTGTTGTCATGGTTACTAAACATAGCAATATCTGTATCTGTAAAATATATTCAAAGCGATACTAGTCTACTCCATTCTTTGGTCCGATTTCAAAACCTGCCATACTTGTAGCTGCAATAATGTAGCCCTCTCCGATTTTTTTAATCTGATATTTTCTGGAGAGGGCTACAATTCCATCGCATCTCCGTAATGGTGCAAATATATTTTTTTGATACGGGTGATTGGAGGCAAAATAAATTATTTTTACATTAAACTTACTTCTTATAAGACGGAATTTTTATTCACTGTCAACAACATAGCCTGTTAAACTCGAAAACCATGTAAAATAAATCTGTGTCTTT